CACCTCACCACCACTCCCCACACTCACCACCACCCCCACACCTCACCACCACTCCCCACACCTCACCACCACTCCCACACCCCACCACCACTCCCCCACACACACCTCACCACCACTCCCACACTCATCCACACTCACAACCACTCCCCCACACCCCGCTACTACCCCACTATCACCACCACCACCACCACACTACCACCACCCCCACACTACCACCACACCCCCACTCACTCCCACTACCACCCCCACTACCACCCCCCCACCACCACCACCCCCCACTACTCACCCACTCCCCCCACTACCACCACCCCCACTACCACCACCCCACACTACCACCACCCCACACTACCACCCCAACTACTCCCCACACTCACCACCACTACCCCACACTACCACCACTACCCCACACTACCACCACTACCCCACACTACCACCACTACCCTGCCACTACCACCACTACCCCACACTACCACCACTCACCCCACACTACCACCACTACCCCACACTACCCCACACACCACACCACTACCCCACACTGCCCCCACTACCCCACACTACCACCCCCCACTACCCCACACTACCACCCCACTACCCCACACACTACCACTCCCCCACTACCCCACACTACCACCCCACTACCCTCCACTACCACCTCCCCCACTCACCCCACTACCACCCCCACTACCCCCACTACCACCCTCCCACTCACCCCCACCACCCCCACTACCCCACTACCCCCCCACTACCCCCCCACTACCCCACTACCACCCCCACTACCCCACACTACCACCCCCCACTACCCCACACACTACCACCACTACCCCACACTCACCCCCACACTACCACCCACACTACCCCACACCTACCAATACTCACTCCCACACACTACCACCCACACTACCCCACACTACCACCCACACTACCCCCACACTTCCCCCACACTACCCCACACACTCCCACACTACCCCCACACTACCCCACACTACCCCACACTACCCCCACACTACCACCCACACTACCCCACACTACCCCAGCACTACCACCCCACACTACCCCACACTGCCACCCACACTCCCACCACTGCCCCACACACTACCACCCACCCCACACCACCACCACCCCACACAACCACCACCCCACACAACCACCACCCCACACTACCACCCGCTTACCACCCCAAACTCACCGATTACCACCCCACACCACCACACTCAACCACCACTACCCCACACTACCACCACTACCCCACACTACCACCTCACTACCCCCCACACCACCACCACTACCCCACACACCACCACTACCCCACACTACCACCACTACCCCACACTACCACCACCCCCACTACCCCGCACACTACCACCCCCACTACCACCCCCACTACCCCACACCACCACCACCCCACCACCACCACCCCCACTACCACCACCCCCACTACCACCACCCCACCACCACCACCCCCCACTCACCACCACCCCCCACTCACACCACCCCCACACCACACCTCCCACACTGCCACCCCACACTACCTCACACTCACCACCACTACCCCACACCACTACCACCACCCCACACTACCACCCCACACCCTCACACTCACCACCACCACCCCACACTCACCACCCACACTACCACCACTACCCCACACTACCACCACTACCCCACACTACCACCACTACCCCACACTACCACCCCACCCCACACTACCACCCCACACTACCACTACCCCACACCACCACCCCACACACCACCCCACCCACCACCCCCACACCACCACCACCCCACACCACCACCACTACCCCCACACACCCCCACCACTACCCCCACCACCACCACTACCCCACACTACCTCCACACTACCTCCACTACCACCCACACTACAGAACTCAGAAAGATGTGATCATTTGCTGTAGAACTTTGGTTAAATTTATGCCTCTACTTTCTACATTATTTTATTAAGTAATGTTTCGGAATGGGTGTACAATTATCATACCTCACTTTACTGTTGTTGGCTCATACTTGTACCGTGTGTTGATTATACTTGTACCTGTGTTGTTGACTATACTTGTACCTGTGTTGTTGACTATACTTGTACCTGTGTTGTTGACTATACTTGTACCTGTGTTGTTGACTATACTTGTACCTGTGTTGTTGACTATACTTGTACCTGTGTTGTTGACTATACTGTACCTGTGTTGTTGACCATACTTGTACCTGTGTTGCTGACTATACTTGTACCTGTGTTGCTGATTATACTTGTACCTGTGTTGCTGACTATACTGTACCTGTGTTGTTGAATTATACTTGTCCTGTGTTGTTGACTATACTTGTACCTGTGTTGTTGACTATACTTGTACCTGTGTTGTTGACTATACTTGTACCTGTGTTGTTGATACTTGTACCTGTGTTGTTGACTATACTTGTACCTGTGTTGTTCATACTTTTGTACCTGTGTTGTTGACTATACTTGTACCTGTGTTGTTGACTACACTTGTACCTGTGTTGTTGACTATACTTGTACCTGTGTTGTTGATTATACTTGTACCTGTGTTGTTGACTATACTTGTACCTGTGTTGTTGACTATACTTGTACCTGTGTTGTTGATCATACTTGTACCTGTGTTGCTGACTATACTTGTACCTGTGTTGCTGACTATACTTGTACCTGTGTTGTTGACTATACTTGTACCTGTGTTGTTGACTACCTGTACCTGTGTTGTTGACTACACTTTTTGAACTTGTACCTGTGTTGTTGACTATACTTGTACCTGTGTTGTTGACCATACTTGTACCTGTGTTGTTGACATACTTGTACCTGTGTTGTTGACTATACTTGTACCTGTGTTGTTGACCATACTTTGTACCTGTGTTGTTGACTATACTTGTACCTGTGTTGTTGACTTATACTTGTACCTGTGTTGTTGACTATACTTGTACCTGTGTTGTTGACTATACTTGTACCTGTGTTGTTGACTATACTTGTACCTGTGTTGTTGACTATACTTGTACCTGTGTTGTTGATCATACTTGTACCTGTGTTGTTGACTATACTTGTACCTGTGTTGTTGACTATACTTGTACCTGTGTTGTTGATCATACTTGTACCTGTGTTGTTGACTATACTTTGTACCTGTGTTGTTGACTCATACTTGTACCTGTGTTGTGACTAACTTGTACCTGTGTTGCTGACCATACTTGTACCTGTGTTGCTGACCATTTTGTACCTGTGTTGCTGACTATACTTGGTACCTGTGTTGCTGACTATACTTGTACCTGTGTTGTTGACTATACTTGTACCTGTGTTGTTGACTTACTTGTACCTGTGTTGTTGACTATACTTGTACCTGTGTTGTTGACTATACTTGTACCTGTGTTGTTGACTATACTTGTACCTGTGTTGTTGACTATACTTGTACCTGTGTTGTTGACTATACTTGTACCTGTGTTGTTGACTATACTGTACCTGTGTTGTGACTATACTTGTACCTGTGTTGTTATAATTGTACCGTGTTTACATACTTGTACCTGTGTTGTTGACTATACTTGTACCGTGTTGTTGACTATACTGTACCCGTGTTGTTGACTATACTTGTACCTGTGTTGTGACTATCTTGTACCTGTGTTGTTGACTATACTTGTACCTGTGTTGTTGACTATACTTGTACCTGTGTTGTTGACTATACTTGTACCTGTGTTGTGACTACACTTGTACCTGTGTTGTTGACTACACTTGTACCTGTGTTGTTGACTATACTTGTACCTGTGTTGTTGACTATACTTGTACCTGTGTTGTTGACTATATCTTGTACCTGTGTTGACTATACTTGTACCTGTGTTGTTGACTATACTTGTACCTGTGTTGTTGATATACTTGTACCTGTGTTGTTGACTATACTTGTACCTGTGTTGTTGACTATACTCTACCTGTGTTGTTGACTATACTTGTACCTGTGTTGTTGACTATACTTGTACCTGTGTTGTTGACTATACTTGTACCTGTGTTGTTGACTATACTTGTACCTGTGTTGTTGACTATACTTGTACCTGTGTTGTTGACTATACTTGTACCTGTGTTGTTGACTATACTTGTACCTGTGTTGTTGACTATACTAATAATAATAATAATAATAATAATAATAATAATAATAATTAACGGTTTATTGAAAGAGCTTGGCAACCGGAAGGCTGAAAATATACAGTTACATATTTGGGCCTCGACTTGAACCTGTACCTGTATTGTCGTCGATACTAGTACCTTTACCTGTGTTATTGTCTGTACTTGTACATGTAGGATCAATATTTTGTAAATTAATGGAAATATTTACCTGTTAGTCTCAGTCGTCTTAGTAATGAAGTGGTGCATCTATGGCCTGGTAGTGACTCTAATTGTATCTCTAAACTGTCTAATTGTACCTGTCGACTGTCTAATTGTACCTGCCGACTCTAGTTGCACCTCTCGACTGTCAAATTGTGCTCTAACAGCTGACTCTACTTTAATCTGACTGTCTACTTAAGCACTTGACTGTCTACTTTGACACCTGACTGTCTACTTTAACACCTGACTGTCTACTCTAACATCTGACTGTGTACTTTAACTTCTCAGTCTCCTTTGACACCTGACTGTCTTCTTTAATCTGACTGTTTTCTTTAACAATTGCTTGTTTACTGTAACATCTGACTGTGTAAACTTTTTCACAATATTTTGAGAGATGCATGTGGCACATATCACTGTGATGACGCCACCCACCACCTACGGCTACACCACCTTTAAGTTCCCCTCTCTCTCTCTCTCTCTCTCTCTCTCTTCTCTCTCTCTGACACACACACACACACACACACATATATATATATATATATATATATATATATATATATATATATATATATATATATATATATATATATATATATATATATATATATATATATTAATGCACATTCTTTATCACATACGTAATTTTGTGAATCAAACCTAACCTAACCTCTTGCTGTTGTTTCAGGAATGTGGTGGTCAGATCAAAGTATACACCAACTGCTGCCCCCAGTCAACGGACCGCGTCATCCAGATCACTGGCGACCGTGACCGCGCCGTCCTCACCATCACCCGGATAATCGAACTCATTAAAGATGTAAGTGCTGCCTTGTGTTGTAATAATAATAATAATAATAACAATTTTATCTTGGTGTGGGAGGTATTAGGTTAGGGTTGGTTAGATTAAGTTTGAGTAGGGTATGTTTAATTTGGTTAGGTTGGGGAAGGGTAGGTTTAATTTGATTAGGTTGGGGTACGTTTAATTTGGTTAGGTTGGGTAGGGTGGTTAATCTTCGAGTGGTATAAGCAAGGGTGTCTAATCTTCAACTGATCTGATAAAAAGGGCATTATTACAAGGATTGGTGACTTTTATCATTAAATCTCAGTTTATAGTTTACAAGGCAGGGTAAAGGATTAAAAATTGTGAGCTAAAACACATGAAAGTCAGATTTTTTGTACAGTACTCACTTTTATTGTAAAAGTTTGGGTTGTGTGTTTTAGTACAGTATTAGTTTTGGTTATAGATTCTTGAGTACTGTTATCCAGGTCCTTATATTGGTATCTTTTTAATAACTAAAGGATGCCTACACACATATTAGCTAGATAATACATAGAGCCTGATATTCATACAGTCATATCCTACTTGCAACTGCCAGTCCAATTTTAAAGGAAGTTTTGGCCATTGTTGACAAGAGGAGTCCATATACTGTACAGTACATTCAGTGGCTTGTAGTCATTGATAACTTCTGTTTGAGAGTTGAGAGTTTTGCTCACATTAGTCTAAATATCCATAAAGTTTATACAGTGCAGTAAGGATTGCCTGGTTTTTTTTACCAGTAAATACAAAGCACTTTTTTGTACTGCAACTCTATTTACTTGTAATCTGTGATGTGTATTAAGCATTTGTCAGCCACTTTTTAAATGGTTTGTAACCCCTTATTAATTGAAACGAAAAATAAGGCATACAGGGGTATAAGTTAGTGTATGTTAGCCAAGAAACTGTACAGTCATGTGACCACTACATTAGTTACTGTGACTTAATCTGGAGGAGTAAGATGCTAGAGATAAGATTGTGTATCCAGCACAGGAGCAACTTCAGGGTGGCACTGGCACCAGATACATGACATTAATATTGTTTGCCACTATAAATAATAATGTATTTAATATTTGATACATGTTTGTGATTCCATCCTCAGAGTCCCATCAAGGGTATGAATAACCCCTACAACCCACACAACTTTGATGAGTTCTTTGCCAATGAGTATGGTGGTTGGGGTGAGTCACCAAAGGGCAGGTTCCCTGGTGGCCCCATGGGACGCGGACCTCCCCACATGGGCCCTGGTGGACCAATGGGTCGAGGACCAATGGGTCCACCAGGTGGACCACCAGGCGGACCACCTGGACCCCCTCCATTTGGAAGGCGTGGACCTATGGGTCCCCCACGAGTCCACCACCACCCATGCGAGGCCCACCCAATGGTGACTTTGATGGGATGATGAATAAAGGAGGTAAACCATTTATGAATGGGAGTGACCCACACAATGGAGATCTACCCACAACCTCAACTCAGGTCAGTACTGTATTGTAATTTAAGTGTAATATACAATATGTGCACTACATTTTTGATAAATCTTCCCATGATATGCAGTATACAGTACAGTATTCTATACAGTATTTTAGAAAGTAAGACAAGCCTATTTAATGAACTACAATTGAGGCCAATATTTCAGGTGACCATACCAAGGATGCAGCAGGTGCCATTATTGGGAAGGGTGGAGCAAGGATCCGCAAGATTCGGTCCGATTCTGGAGCTTCCATTTCTATTGAGGACTCACGGCCAGGTGCCACCGACCGTGTCATCACTATCAATGGAAGTGAACCTCAGATCAAGCATGCCCAGTATTTGCTCCAGCAGAGGTGAGTATACTTAGCTCATAGTGACTCATCTGCCAGTAGATGGATTACTGAAACAGGTGATACAGGTACTCTTCTTTACTTCCTGATAAATTAAAAATATATGGTGTTTTAGGATTTAATTATCAAAGCATATTTTGGAGACATTTTCTTTTTAATAATGGAATTCCTCTGCTTTGTTTTGAGTATGAAAATATGTATGATGTTGACTTACAAAGTAATGCAATACAATAATGCATGTTAGTAGTGTTCTTCCTACTGCAAGAGTTAAAGTGATGAACCCAATCATTGTCTTATTTATGATAGAACAGTATGTTAACTTGCTGACCTCAGCATAAGTACAGTATTATGATCATCTGGTGTTTTGGTGGTATTATATTGGTCTCCATGATGATTCAATGCACCACAGTAAGTGTTGGAAAATAAGCTAATTTGATTAGATTACAGCAGTACAGTATATGCATAAGTTTAGATTCAACACATCCTAAAGTTTGGTCACTATTTTTAGTGATCAAATTTCCTCTAATACTGTACTCTGATATTCACTCAGTTATGTTAAATAAACCTTTAGGAGAAATTACTGGAACTTTTACAGTTTAAATTTTACATTAGATATAAAAGGCAATACAGTACTGTAGTTATAATCTTAAAAAATACAAAAAATAAAATAAGACTGACTGCAAATTTGATACTGTACATATATTGTTGAGCTTGTAAAGCTAGTGAATGCAATGGAAAGGTGATATTCTTACCCTCATATTTAGAGCAGAGTAGAAGGATGGACACTTGACTCTTTTCTTTAATTCTTGGGATATTGTATGTGACAGCTTCTTTGTTTGAACTGTTGTGGTTTTGAATCCCTAGGTTGTGTTTCATAGTGCAAGCTTACCACATGTTTTCTTCTGTAGGTTTTACTGGAACGAAGTTTTGTAAAGTGTACAGTCATATCTGAGAGTAGGTTTATGGAACCTGTTGTATTGATGTTATCACTGAGGTTCAAGAGAAGGATCATTAACAGTTGATGTGCAAGGATATTTCTTTAAACTCCAGAACATGAACCAAAAATTAACCTAACACCTCAACCATTTTTCCATGTATATTCTTGGGAAATATATATAAAGCCAATGATTTTTGCGAAAACAGCTTACTCACTATGGACAGAATATCATAGCAATTGTTTAGTTCCAAATAAGTTAATGGAAATAGACTAAAGAGATTTTAGTGATGTTCAGTTCTTATAAAAATAGAGCAGTACAAGAGTTTATAGATATCTGATCATTCCCAGAGCCTTGCACAACAACTTGTTAAACACATAATTTAATGTGTAATTTAAGGGTTTCTGCTTCAGCCTAAGGTTTATCTTCATTCCTGATCTGTAATAGAAGTAAATTAAATTCTTCTGGCTATACCTCTACCTAACATCATGAGATCTCACCATCAAACAGGTGTATAATTTGTTTGATGCTATACTGTTATCACAGCTTCAACCTACTTTTTAGTGATTTTTAGTGAACTATGCTACTGACATTTTATATTAGTTTTCTACCAGTTGATAGACATAATGTTGAAAGGGAAAACATATTCGTGAACACACTCATCTTTTTCATTACTGTACTCTGTACTTGCGATTGCTGATTATTGATTATATATAAAGGATATACAGTATAACTATTCGCTATTTTGATATAATTCGCTCATTTTGTTTGCAGTTTTTAACAAATTAATGCTGCATGGTAATGGTAATAGACTGGTAATGGTAAAAGTCGTTGGTGGCATGTGACCAGATAATATATGCAGCACGTGGTGTTGACCCTGTGATTTAGGGAGGAAGATAGCGTAGAGCTTTTAGTGCAGAGGTTAAGATGCATTGGTAGTGTGTCAGCCTCTGAAAATGTCAGCAACATTGACATTTTTGTTGTTGACTTTGGTAATTATACAAGTGTAAATTGAATATGTTTTCCTTTTGGTTAGGAACTTGAGACGTTGTTTTCTCATAAGACAGTTTCTTCTGTAAGCATAAAGCTACCAGTATCTTAAATTTCTGAATGCAATATTAACCTTCATGGGCAGTACCTTTGCTTGTTGTTTTGGCCAGGATTATAACTTTGCAACCCATCTGAACAAGACAAAGCCTTGCGTCTTTTTTCATAGAAGTATCACCATACAAAGTAGTGAAAAACAGCCTAGATATTAATACAATATGTGGGTTTAAAGTAAGGGTTGGTATTCCCCCTCAAACTGATGGTACAGCTACAGTGTGGATGTGGTTCATTGAAGGTTTGTGTGAATCAGATCAGCTACTTATATTAACAAGTCTCCCCATCATTTTCCAAGTGAACTAATGTATGTTACTCCTGTATTTGGCTATGCTGGTTGCATTATTTTTGGTGGTGCTATACTAACCCCTAATTGAGTTAGCAACTAACAACGCTCAACTAACAAGTGCACTCAACTAACAGCAGGCTTATGTGGTGTGGAAGACTAGTGATTTTGTTGTTTGGTGCTGGATAACAAGAAATCACTAATCCTCCTACTGCATCAGTCAATAACCTGCATGGTGGTGGTGGTGGTTCTGCTAATGCTACTTCTGCTACTGCTGCTGCTACTGCTACTGTTGCTACTGCTGCTGCTCATGAGTGCAGCTCACACTACTGAATTCCTGCTTAAACTTGGAGTGGGCTATCTGGAATAACAAACCCAAAATAAGCAGGTTGTTAACAGTATCATAGTAGGAAATAATAGCTGACAAAAATATTGAACACCATGTCTCCATATATGTAACTAATATACAGGTACTGTATAGCACAGTAGATAAAACAACTATCTGTGCATACTTTGTGGGAAGCAATACGAGACCATGGACGGTAAATTTTGGTACATGAGGGCTGTCACTAGTCACACGTAAAATTTTGGAGCATATCGACCCCCACCTGCACAGATAGTTGTTTTAGCTACTGTACATACATACATTCACTATATCTTATCTTAAATAAATTTCTGCTGTGGACAGGGTTTCAGGGTGTCTCTTGTAGTTATTTGTGGTATCTCCTCTTGAGCTATTTCAGACAAGATACTGTACTGTAATATGAAATGTATTCTGCATTAATCTTTAGTAACTGTAATATTAGTGAATACAGTAAATCAATTTAGATTGGATTTATTAGACTTTCTTCTTAAGAATTATACAGCAAGTCACCATTTTTGTTTTATACAAATATTTAAATTTGTTATCCAGTATATATTTTGAAAACTTGACAACTATTAGTGTCCAGAATTTGAAATAAAAAAGTCTCAAATCAGAAAGTAAAATTTTGTGTGTGTGTTTACAAATGATGTACAGTAAAATTTTCTAACCAGATCACAAACTATTCCCTTTTTTCCCTCCCAAAAAGGAAATTTACACTTGGTTTAATGAAGATGCTTTTTTAATTTTCCCTCCACCTTTATTTTATAAGTAGATCCTGGTGCACATATGCATTATGGAAGTACAGTACTCAACCAGTACTATTTATTCAGAGTAAATATGAACAGTCCTTCCTATTTTTGGAGGACTTTCTCGTTTGTTTTTGTCCGCCACATTATGCATGTTTGCATCTTATGTTACTTTTTATATTTTTATTTCATCCCACCAGTGTGCGCGAGTATGGAGGACAGCACGACTACAGGCCAGACTTTGATCATGATCAGACTAGGTAACAATAACTACATTATCTAAATATTTTATCAAAGATCATCATAGTGCCAGGTGGTACCGGAACCCCATTTATTTACATTGACACCTTTTGTCTTGACAGCGTGCGCGAGTACGGAGGTCAAACGGGCCGCAGATATTGAGCACCAGCAACAAGTCCAGCCATCATCAGATTCTCAAGTTGATGAAGCAGACACAACACTACCACACATGCAACAAGGCTAAAATTGTAGACTTTAAGGACTAATTTGGAAGAGAAGTTGTTACACAAGTGATGTAGAATGTATATTGTAGGATTAAGGAGCCTCTCGTAATAATGATGCTCATGACGTAGAACTTTAGCTGATTGCCGCTAAAGTGTTGGGCTTGTCGTCGTCGTACGCTGCCGAGCTGGACCGGAAGTTAAATGTCATCTGTTATAGAAGTACTACATCTCTTGTAAATGCTAATTAATGTTTTTGATGGGGATTATAAACAATGCTCGGGAGTATTCCTTGTAGCACAAAGGGAGTCTGCATTGATAGGGCATACATGTTTCAGTGATGGCATGGGTCAGCAAACCTGTTAAAGAGCACTGTTGGTGGAATGACCTCACAGGTGACGACTAGGATTCCATCCAATATTTTGAAGTAACTGTTAATCAAAAGCATAACCTGTATAGTTTTTTACTTCAAGCCAGAGTGTTTCAGTTGATGATCATACCAGACTTGCATACTTTGATTTCCTTCTGCTTAAAATCACCACCTAATATGATAGTAGATTCTCCACTTTAAACTTGCCATTTGGAAAGAAATGATATCTATGGAAGGGGAAATTCGTCAATATTTAGACTTCGTCTTGGAAGCCTAACGTCCACTAATTAACTATGAATATTCAGGTATTTGACTAAATAAACTAGCTCCAAAGTAATCACTGATGTATTTTTGTACAATTTTATTGTCATAATATTTGTTTCATGTTATTCTACATATGGATTACTAATAAATGTTGTCATCTCACCCCCAAGTACTACTTCTACTATAATAATTTCTTAGATCCTTCTATTGCTCCTCTTAAGATGTCCCACTTAATGTAGGACAAACCATCTACCTTAACTATAAAGAACTATCCACAAGATTTAGCCTCCTAGATCAGCTTTTCCAGTTTCAACAGCCTCTAGCAGTCCAATCTCTCTCTCACACACTCTCTTTCTCTCTCTGTCAAAAAGCTTCTTTCTATGAGGGTTGTAGTCATATTTCCTGCCTTAACTCCTGTGCTAAGACCCTGACTGTTTCGGTGTTGTACTCTTTCACGTAGAGGCTATTCTGCCCTTTGCTTAGCTCTGTTTTTCTCTGTGGGACGTACTTGAGATGTTTACTTAGCCGAGTTTGGTTTGAGGAAGGTCCCTAACATGATTTTTTTTCCTTTGTATTAGCCATGTAGTAGAGATTGTATTTTATCCTTTGTCATGTAAACCACTTGTCATGTAGAGAAAATTTAGGAATATTTTAAGAGGAGAGGTTGTATGCACTGGTCCTAGGATGTATTTAGTGAAAGGCATTGCTGAGATCAATCACAGTTAAGTTAACATCTAAGTTACTTCCCTGTATGTTTGTATGTCTGTACCTGATAATTGAAGCCATTGTCCGTGTACAAAGGTATCGTTGTCACCACTAAAAGAAAGACAAAGGACACTCGCCAGAACTTTCTGTAACCCGAAGAGCCCCCCCCCCCCACACACACATCTGGGATTAACAGTGCCCTTTTCCCACACTTTTCACGTCTTGTTTACCTTCTTGACATTGTACTTTGTCAAGAAAAAGAAATGCTCCTAATGAATAGAAATTGATTGCCAAAATCTGCTTGGAAATAGTTTGTATTTGTGTTCTGCTTTGGTTTGAATCAACTTAGGTTTACAAACCTATGATAAACGTTCATAAAGTGTGATTTGGCTACTTGTGTTTTGAGAAAGAGTTTATTGCAGTCATCCCTGCTTTTGTAGGTCAAGTAGACATTCCATGCAGCCCAGTTTTGTTATAAATGGCCATTATTTTTCTTATTGAATCTGCCAAAGCCTGCCACTCAATGCAAGAGAGATGTTGGGTAACATATGGTGGGTCTTTTGTTTGTGAGGCCCAAACAGGATTTTTTGTTAAAAGTTTTATACAGTACTATGATTTGTAATAATGAATTATTTTCTTATTCCCGCCATGTAGTACCTCTTGGCAGTGCTCCAGTGGGAATTAATTGGGTTTCACTTTCATTTTGTGCAGTTTGGAGCAAGCTTTTCCCTATAACGTAAGAAAGAGCCTTAACTCAACTCTTATAGGAACTAGGTACTCAGTCCCCATTGCCTGCATACATTAGTATTTGAAGTTATTACCTCGTATAGAGTTTATGTCCAGTGGTATCTAGAACTTCTAACAAGAAACACTATTTGCTCCTCAGGGGATCACATTTAACTATGCATCAACTGGCCCAAGAGGAAATAACTCATGTGGAAGGCCATTTATATGCACTAGACCACTACAAACATGAGTTGTCACCTTCCTAGTGAACTTTGATGACATCTATACACACATAGTTCTTCCGTTGTAGTGAAACTTTTATGCAAAGACAAGAAGTCTTTTCATTACTTTTGATTTCACATGTCCAGAAAATGGCTATGATGGTATGGAACATTAAATCTGGTAGTCTAAGATGTGCCTACGGTCCCCTGAATAGCAAGTATTGTCCTGCAATTTGACTGGATGTTCACATATAAGAGATTTGATTTATACATAAGGACCAGACACTGTTACTTGTGTCCATAGTTTAAAACTCTTGAAGCCATCCATTTTGTAATGTGATTAATGTATTTTGCATTCATATAAAGGAATAAATACCAGAAGAAATTAACGTGTTTTTCCTTCCTACCCTGTAAGTGATTTCTTTGTAAAGAGAATTATTTTTTATCAAGAGCAGTGTATTTTTTAAAAGTATACTAATTGCTATGTAATGCCTTGATAAATAGCTTGTCTGATAAGTTATTTGCTCGTGGATCTTGCATGATTAATACCCAGTAGACTGCAAGACGGCCATTATACTGTGGCAGAAGGCAATTACGCTGTCCAGAACCTTCCGTATGGATGCATGAGGAAAGTAATCACATCATTTGGGTGTTTATGGCAGAATAATATACACAGCTTTTAACTTGAGCTTATTGAATAACTGTGTAAATATGATGTCGTGTTTGCAGATTAGAGTGAGCATTATCGAATCGGTGAAGGTGCAGGTTGGTAAACTGGTAATGGCACCTTGTCAAGTCTCATTTAATTGCCAATTTTGCTTTCTTCAGGTCATATTCTGTGCCTAACATTACTCCAACCAGAACACATCATACATGAAATGTGCAGAATGTTTCTCACTGTTTTGGAGCAGATTCTGGTCATCACGGCAATGGACAAACAAACCATTGATTATTAGAAATGTACATAATTACCATAGTCATCACAAAGTGAATCCTATATATGTTATCTACATTATGTTTAATAATAGTTAGTGGTAATTGTAAAACATTAAGCCTTACGACCTCTCCCCTCATGACCTTTGAATTGCACAAAGTAGAATGGTTGATGATGGGTCACTTGTATTAAATTACTGAGGTAACAGTCTTGTTAGACTTCTCTGAACACAAGTTTAATAATATAGCTTCCCTTACCCCTTATAAATTGTTGTTACTGTATTAATGCCTAAGAAACTACAATAAAATTCATAAAATTTAATAACTTTTAATCCCTCCCTCCTTACTCCAGCAAAATTTAACCATGTGTTTACTGCATATTTAATGTTATAAGATGAACTATCCCAATACTGTACTGTCTACATTTACACCAGTTACACTTGCTGGCATGGCACATGTTCACACATTATACACTTCGTCAAACATCAGTACTCATTTTTTTTTCAAGAAAAATAGTATTCACATTGTTTTTTTTCAGATAAAGTTACATAAATCTGAGGATTTTTTTTTTAGTAGTACTGCTTGGTCATTAAATTTTGTCTCTATGGTACAGTACAATATTTCATTGTATTACTATACAGTATGTAAAGACTCTTTTTGTTGGTCTGAACCCCCAGAAGAGTGAGGGCTGACAGTAAATTCCTGCTATTGTATATTAATTTGATATATGGACATTCTTGAGCATGGCATCATTCATGAGTACAGTAATCCTAGATAGTCTTGAGTAACACAGAAAAGTTGATTTTTATATATAGTGGTATCTCATTCTTTGCATATGACATAGTTAAGATGTCAAGTATTATAAATAATTAAGAGTGGCACATATATCAAAAGCGAGCTAATGGACTCCTCAATTGAACTAGCCGTCTAACACCTTTTGTATGGTACCACCTCAGCTAACTAAAAACGTGTAGCGTTAGCCAAAAAATTAGTGACGTCCCCGTAGTGAATTAGTTGATAATAATTTTGAAGGGTGTGGCTGTATGATATAGTGATACAGCACCAAGAACCCAAGCAATTTGCTGGTAAAGGCTACTTATAGATGTGACTAAAGAATGATGGATTAAACGACTGAGTAGCAGAGGGGAAAAGTACAGTACTGTACAGGGGGTCTTCATTATACACTGGGGATGTGTTCCTGAGAAATGTGACTTGCATGAAACATTTTATAATGTGGAATTTTTCCCCATAAGAATTAATGTACAGTACAGTAAGTTCTCACTTAACGTCGGGGTTGTTTCTGAAAATGCGACGTTATACGAAACAACATTAAGCAGATCAATTTTCCCCCATAAGAAATGGATAAAATAAGGGAGTTACGTTCCCCAGCCTCCCTTTGTCCCATGAAAAACATTACATATACGTACAGGAAATCATTGCCATTTCTTTATAAAATAGGTGTTGATTGTATGTAGAAGTCCGTGTGCTTTATTGGGCTAATGAAATATATAATATATATATACTGTATATATATATATATATATATATATATATATATATATATATATATATATATATATATATATATATATATATATATATATATATATATATATATATATATATATATATATACAGTATATATATATATATATATATATATATATATATATATATATATATATATATATATATATATATATATATATATATATATATATATATATATATATATATATATATATATATATATATATATATATATATATATAGTTTGTATTGGTACTCACCGATGGGTGGAGGTAGTAGAGCGAGTGGGTAGTGGAGCGAAGGAGGAGGATGGCAGGAGCGGAGGAGGAGGGTGGGAGCGGAGGAGGAGGGTGTCAAGTGGTCTTTTGCCGCTTTAAAACCTGGCTCTCTTTTCTCCTCCTTGGAGATATACAGTAGGTCCTCTCAGGCATCCTCTTGCTTTGATGAGTAGCCTCCTTCCTGGATAATCCGTTTGAATTCTGGTGGGAATTTCTCGGTAGCAACCTTATCTGAACTCGCAGCTTCACCAGTCATCTTAATATTGTGGAAGTTATACCTGCGTTTAAATCGTTGAAACCGGCCACAGCTGGCCGTAAAGGTTTCTTCCTTCGATCCTTCACCCTCTTCTTCCTTTATGTCATCAAACAAGGATCGGGCCTTATGCTGGATAACCATAAGGCTCAAAGGCGCATTGCGTTGATTCTGGTCCTCCTTCCATATAGCCAGCATCTTTTCCAATTTTTCTATCACCGCTTCTAGTACGAGTTGTTTTTTGTTGCACTGAGAGTAGTACCACTTCCAACCCTAATCATAATCTTGTCAGCGTTGGTCCTGATAGTACACACCTTTGTGGGGGTTAGACCAAGCACAGTGGCTATGTCCACAGCATGTTCCCATTTTTCAAATCTTACATTGCCTCTTCACTAAACTAGCATCAGTAGCACTTGATGGGAGCTTGGTAGCCATTTCAAATGGTTATAGTACAGTTTTAGAGCAAAAGCACTTAAGCACACACGAATGATGTGAAGTTGTAACAGATACTGGCTTGGCGTCGCTTGGGGATGCAGTCACGTTCTGCGAGTGAGGGCAGCGCGCCGAGCCGAGAGAGCATATATGCACGTTTAGGCAAGAGCGGGTGATGCGCTGTAGAAAGTAATCCGTGACCACACAAAACGAAGTAGTGTTGGATCACTGGGATGGTAAACGAATTTTTGGTCTCTAAAGCCTAGCGACGTAGTACTGAAACGTTAAGCAGGACAACGTTATATGAGGATGCACTGTACTGTACTGTACTATAATTGGTGGTGAAATATATGCGATCCAACTTACAAGTAACCCTTGAGATATGAAAATTTCCGTATATGAATTTCATAAATTTTGGTTATTAAAGCGTCCCCCGCTTATGCGAATTTGGGTCCGAGCAAAAATTTAAAATTTTGCATGCTGGGAGTCAGCTGGTGCGGCCATCTTAAAGAGAGATGCGCAGAGTAAGGGCCTTACTCAGCCAACCCCTGCTCATCCCCTTGTGGTGGAGAGCTCAGACTGCCCTCCCATACCAAAGTTATACAGTATAGTATTTTCTTGATTTTTTTTATGCGTTAGATAGACAGCAAGTGTGCAGATTGAGGAAGGGGCAGTCAGTGGAGCAGTGAGGGAGGTTTAGTGTTGGTGATATCCTACCCCTACTGGGTCAAGCTGTGAGTTGCGTTATTGTTATTCTCGTATTTTTGGGTAGATACAGTATACAAAATAATTTTTTTTATTACTGCAGGTAGTAGATAGTAGGCAGCTGTCAAACAGGGAAGTACTGTACTACCGCCTGAAAAGATATTGGAAGCATATTGTCTAATTGTTATATATTACTGTACAAATAATTGTATAAAGGAATAATATATTATTATTACAGCAACAACTGTATTATTTACTTTAAATGTTGATTGTTTATATGTAGACTCACTGTAGGGAGGTGGATTTATATGGAGACTCACTGCAAAGGAAGCAGGAAATTAACATGGGATTTAGAAGACTGTGCCTCAATCTCTCCTACATAAATAGCCTGAAGAAATGAAGACACCACAGAATTTGGCGACGACGATGGAATTGCTTTGTACAGTAAGGCTTACAGTATTACCAGAGTCACTTTAGAAGAGTAAATTAAAGTATAAAGGAGAGAAGGGTGAGTTAGAAGAATCAGCCTGATTCAAAACATTTGTGCCACCCCAAAATGGCAGTTCAGGGCTTGCTTGGCCATATTGATTCTTTTGATCCTTCCACAGAAAATTTCACTAGTTACATTGAGAGACTAGAGCAATATTTCTGTGCAAATGAGATTAGCACTTATCCAGTTGATGCCAATGATGCCACAATTCAGGCTGCTAGTAAAAGAAAAGTTGCTGTCCTGATACCTGTCCTGGGTAAGAGTACCTACAAATTACTACACGATTTATGCAGTCCAAAGTTACCCAAGGAACAGACTTTTGATGAACTAATTAAATTACTGACAGACCACTACAAGCTGAAACTTTTGAATTCCACAGATGCATTCAAGAAATAAATGAGTCTATTGCAGATTACAGTGCTAGGCTAAGACACATGGCTGCAACATGTGATTTTGGCCAGTTCCTCACCAGATCATTGAGGGATCAGTTTGTAAGTGGGATCCACAGTGCTGAGACCCAAAAGAAGCTGATTATCACCGAAAGATCTTTTGAAGAATGTCTGCAAATAGCCCAAGCTCATGAGGTTGCTGCCATTGAGACGCAGCAGTTCTGGAATCAAAATGCGCCTGTTCACCGAGTTCAAGCTGCAGATAGTGATGAAGAAGTTTCGGTGCATCAAGTCCAGCGTTCAAGAAAGTCACCACAGCCAGTGTGCAAGGCAAGGGCCATGCCCAAGCAGTATAACCACTCCACTGCTAGGGAAGGAAATTCTTCAGGTCAAGCCTTCTACACATACAAATGCTTCTCTTCCTCAAAACCCGGGCATCAGAGAGGAAATTGCCGGTTCCGTGACTATGTGTGTAACAAGTGCAACACCAAGGGACACATCGCTGGCGATCCCTGGTGGTCCCTGAAGATCCCTGGTGATTGCAGAAGGTCCCCAGTGATTCCTGAACATACCTAGTGTTCCGTTGTGGTCTCTGTTGGTCCTCCGTGGTCTCTCGTGGTCTCTTGTGGTCTCTGGTGGTTCTCCGTGGTCCCTGGTGGTCCCTTGTGGTCTCGGGTGTGTTCCTCCGTGGTCCCTTGTGGTCCCTCGTGATTTCTGGTCGTCGTCCGTGGTCTCTGGTGGTCCTCTGTGGTCCTAGTTGGTCCCTCGCTGCCTATGGTGGTCCTCTGTGGTCCCTTGTGGGGACCCTCGTGGTCCATCGTAATCTCTGGTGGTCCTCTGTGGTCTCTGGTGGTCCTACTTGGTCCATGGTGGTCCTTCGTTGTCTTTGATGGTCCACCGTGGTCCCTGGTGGTCCCTAGTGCTCTTTGGTGTGGTCCTCCGTGGTTCCTCGTGGTCCCTCGTGATCTCTGGTAGTCCCCCATGGTCTCTGGTGGTCCTCCATGGTCCCTGGTGGTCCCTCGTGGTCTCTGGTGGTCCCTCATGGTCCCTCATGATCCCTCGTGGTCTTGGGTGTGGTTCCCCGTTGTCTCTGGTGGTCCTCCGTGGTCCCTGGCGGTCCCTGGTAGTTCCTGAAGTTCTCTGGGGGTCCTGGTGGTCTCTGAAGGTCCCTGGTGGTCCCTGAAGTTCTCTGGGGGTCCTAGTGGTTCCTGAAGATTCCTGGTGGTTGCTGAAGGTCTCCGGTGGTCCCTAAATATCTCTGCAGTCCTTGGTGGTCCTTGAAGGTCTCCTGTGGTCTCTGATGGTTTCCAGTGGTCTCTGGTGGTCCCCAGTGGTTCGTAGTGGTCCCAGATTATCCCTCGTGGTTCCTGTTAGTTCTGCATAGTAGAGTGTTGTGAGTGTGGTAACTCCGAGACACTTTATACATGAGTGAAGAAAACCCAAAGGAAAATAGTAATCAATAGAACTTTAACATTCACTTTTATTAACTATATTTTGACGTTATAATGACCCTTGAAGTGTAAGTATTGACTATACACTCGATACTGAACCACGGTGTAAGGGAAGTGTCTCGAAATTCAGAACTCCCTCACCTCTTGACTTGATACGGAATGAATAATGCAAAGGAGACTATCAGGAACATCTAATATTACCCACTATCTCGCCTCTCAGTCTGGCCAGCGTCGATCTTCATCTCTCGTCACATAACTCAGCCATTCCACAGGATCGCTCGTGTCGTATTTAAAGTGTTTCGTTTTGGAAAACAATGGTCGTTTCGTGCACAGGTGTAAGAATCCTTTGAGTATAACATGTTAACAGGTGTGGAATAGTGAACACTGAATTAATCATTTGTACCTGGACACAGAGCCTGTACTTTTAAAAGCTCTTCCAATTTTGTTTTATGAATTTCCAAAGTTAGTGTGGCATTAATTAGATGTAAAATGCTTGTAGTGCAGAGGCGTTGTTCATTACGTATTTAAATATGCCTAAGAGATGCAAAAAAGAACATGGTTAGCGAACAATTTTATTTTGCGGGCTGAGGGTACAAGAAAAAAAAAATACATTTCATAAAAAGTAAAATATTGTATAATGATTTTTTGGTGCTTCATTGTTGATGTGTTAAAGAGAGTCTACCGCTTCTGCCATAACACAGATGACTGAAGACTGGACATAGCTGCGTCATCGAAGAGATCTTCGTACACTTTTGTGGTGATCTGTAACTTGAATGGATTCTTCAAAAAAATAATCTCGTGTGGAAAAGTATTGTCAGTTAGTAAGTAAGTAAATAAAGAGGTAGAAAAGGTGTTGGGAACTGCCCCCTCTCTCTCAATCTTCCTTTCACTCACTCACTCACACTCTCTCCATCTCGCTCCCAACTGTCCTCCAAGTGATGAAGGCGCCCCCAGGGACCTTCCCAGGGGCGTCGGCGCCTCAAAGGTTCCAATCACGGGCGGCGACGCCCACAGGGGTCCTCCCAGTGGTGGTGACGCCCCCAGGAACCCTTCCAGGGGCGGCTTCGCCCCCAGGAACCCTCCCATGGAGGGCAGTGTTCCCATGGACCTTCCCAAGGATGGCGGCGCTCCCAGGGTCCCTCACACGGGCGTCGACGACAACAGGCGGCCTCTCAGGGGCGCCGACGCTCTCATGGGCACTCCCAGTGACATCGGCGCCCACATAGACCATCCCAGGGGCGGAGATGCCCCCAGGGTCTCTCCAGGAGCGGCGCCCCCAGGAGCCTCGTCAGGGGGCCTCCTCAGAGGCGGTGCCCCCAGGGACCTCCCAGGAGCGGTGCCCCATGGGTGGTGCCCCCAGGGGGGCCTCCCCAAGAGCGGTGACCTCAGATGGTCTCCCCAGGGCAGAGACCCCAGGTGCCTTCCCAGGGGCGGCTCCCCCAGAGGCGGTGACGCACCTAGCAGCCCTCCCATGGACAGGGACGACACCAGGGGCCTTCCCAGGGACAGCATCGCACCCAAGGGCCTTCCCAGGGACCGCGGTGCCCCAAGGGGCTCTGTCAGGTACAGTGGCGCCCCCAGGGGCTATCTAAAGGTTGGTGGCGCCCAAAGGAACCATGCCGGGGGCGGTGGCGCCCTCAGGGGCCCTTCTAGGGACGGTGGTGCCCCCAGAAGCCCTTCCAGGGACAGGACGCCCCCAGGGACCCTCCAGGGACCGCAGCACTCCCAGTGGCCCTCCCAGAGGCGGTGGTGCCCCCAGGGACAATGCCAGGAACAGGGGTGCACCCAGGGGCCATCCCAGAGACCATGCAGACCCCAGGGTCCCTCCAAGGGACATCGGCGTATACTGGGCCCTCCCAGGGACAGCGGCACTCCTAGAGGCCTTCATAGGGTCGGTGGCACCCCTAGGATCCCTGCCAGGGACGGCGGTGCTCCCAGAGGCTCTGTCAGGGGCGGTGGAGCCGCCAGGGGCCGTCCAAGACACCGGGAGCTCCAAGTGGCCCTCCCACAGAGAGCGACGCGCCCTGGGGCCCTCTCAGGGGCGGTGAAACCCCAAGGGGCGCTGCCAGAGCCAGGGACACCGCCAGGGGCCCTGTCAGGTGCCTCGATGCCCCCAGGGGCCCTTCTAAGGACAACGGCGCCCCAAGGAGCCCTTCCAGAGACCTCAGCCCATCAAGGGGCACTCCCAGTGACAGCAGCAGCCCCAGGTGCCCTCTCAGAGTCAATGGTGACCCCAGGGGTTCTCCATGGGCGGTGATGCCCCCAGGCCCCCCTAGAAGCCCTCCCAGGTTCAGCGCCACCCCCAGGGGTCCTACAAGAGACGTTGGAGCACCCAGGGGACCAGCCATGTCGTTGAAGACCCCAGGGGCTCTCCCAGTACAGCGGCTACTCCAGACACTCTGGCAGGGGCCCTCTCAAGGGCGGTGGCGCCCCCAGGGGCTCTCCCAGGAGCGTTGGCTCTTACACAGGCCCTCCCAGGGGCCATTTCAAAGGTGGTGGCGCCCCAAAGGGCAAGGCGCCCCCAAGGGCTCTTCTTAGGGTTGGCGGCGCCCCAAGGGGCTCTGCTTGGCGGCAATGGTGCCCCCAGGGTCCCTTACAGAAGCGGTGGCGCCCCAAGGGGCGTCGGTACCCTCAAGGGCCTTCCCAGGGGCCCTACCAGAGACGTCCTCTGCCTGGAGACCTATGGCTTTTGGTCGTAGTGTCGTACATATTGCATACGTCCAGCAATCCCTTACTTAACTATGATTGGTGGACTAAAATGTAAATGCAAATATCAGCCAATAGGAGAACAGAGCAGTCAGTCAGCACAACACCCCAACTTATGTTTTACTGTTGGATATTTATTCTCCTTTACATTGTTCATGGTGTGATGATACTGGAAATGCGATGGGTGGAGTATTTATTCATATCTTCCATTGTTCTAAATGTGCAAAAACAACTGCCTCCCCCCCACGGTCAATCCAGTGATAGTGCGCCATGGGGCCCTCCCATTTGCCCTACCAGGTGCGTCGCCCTAGGGGCTCTCACAAAGGGTGTTGGTGCCCCCAGGGGCCCTGGCAAGGGCAGTGGCGATCCCAGGGGCCCTGCCAGGGGCGGTGGCGCACCCAGGGGCCTTCCCAGGGGCGGTGGCGCCCACAGGGACCCTCCCAGGGGCACCGGTACCCCCAGGGGACCTCTCAGGTGTGGTGGCGCCCCCAGGGGCTCGTCAAGGGGTAACGTCGCCCCCAGGGGGCCCGCCAAGGGGTAACGTTGCGCCCATGGGACCGCCAAGGGGTAACGTCGCCCCCAGGGGCTCTTCTTTGGGGCAGCGATGCACCTAGGGGCTCTCCTCAGGGGCACCGGTGCCCCCAGGGGAGCTCTCAGGTGTGGTGGCGACCCCATGGGCCCGCCAAGGGGCTCTTCTTCTTAGGGGCAGCGATGCCCCCAGTGGCTCTCCTCAGGGTCAGCGGTGCCCCCAGGGGACCATCCAGAGGCGGTGGCGCCCCAAGGGGCGGCGGTACCCTCAGGGGCCTTCCCAGGGGCCCTACCAGAGGCGTCCCCTGCCTGGAGACCTATAGCTTTTGGTTGTAGTGTTGTACATATTGCATACGTCCAGCAATCCCTTACTTAACTGTGATTGGTGGACTAAAATGTCATTCCAAATAACAGCCAATAGGAGAACAGAGCAGTGAGTCAGCACAACACCCCAACTTATGTTTTCCTGTTGGATATTTATTCTCTTTTACATTGTTCATGGTGTGATGATACTGGAAATGCGATGGGCGGAGTATTTATTCACATCTCCCATTGTTCTAAATGTGCAAAAACAACTGCCCCCACGGTCAATCCAATGATAGTGCCCCCTGGGTCCCTCCCATGTGCCCTACCAGGTGCGTCGCCCTAGGGGCTCTCCCAGGGGTGTCAGTGCCTCTAGGGTCTCTGCCAAGGGTGGCGGGTCTCCCAGGGGCCCTGTTAAGGACGGTGGCGCACCCAAGGGCCTTCCCAGGTGCAGTGTCACCCACGGGGTCCCTCCCAGGGGCACCGGTGCCCCCAGGGGACCACTCAGGTGTGGTGGCGTCCCCAGGGGCCCGCCAAGGGGTAACGCCGCCTCCAGGGGCCCGACAAGGGGTAACGTTGACCCCAGGGGACTGCCAAGGGGTAACGTCGCCCATAGGGGCTCTTCTTAGGAGCAGCGAGGACCCCAGGGGCTCTCAGGGTCAGCGGTGCCCCCAGGGGTTCTCTCAGGTATGGTGGCCCCCCCAAGGGCCTGCCAAGGGGTAACGCCGCCTCCAGGGGCCCGATAAGGGGTAACGGTGACCCCAGGGGACCGCCAAGGGGTAACGTCGCCCATAGGGGCTCTTCTTTGGAGCAGCGAGGACTCCAGGGGCTCTCAGGGTCAGCGGTGCCCCCAGGGGACCTTCCAGAGGCGGTGGCGCCCCAAGGGGCGACGGTACCTTCAGGGGCCTTCCCAGAGGCCCTACGAGAGGCGTCTCCTGCCTGGAAACCTACAGCTTTTGGTCGTAGTGTCGTACATATTGCATACGTCCAGCAATCCCTTACTTAACTGTGATTGGTGGACTAAAATGTAAATGCAAATATCAGCCAATAGGAGAACAGAGCAGTCAGTCAGCACAACACCCCAACTTATGTTTTTCTGTTGGATATTTATTCTCCTTTACATTGATCATGGTGTGATGATACTGGAAATGCGATGGGCGGAATATTAATTCATATCTCCCATTGTTGTAAATGTGCAAAAACAACTGCCCCCACGGTCAATCCAGTGATACTGCCCCCTGCGGCCCTCCCATTTTCCCTACCAGGTGTGTCGCCCTAGGGGCTCTCCCAGGGATGTCAGTGCATCCAGGGGCCCTGCCACGGGTGGCGGCGCTATCAGGGGCCCTGTTAGGAGCGGTGGCGCACCCAGGGGCTTCCCAGGTGCGGTGGCACCCACAGGGTCTCTCCCAGGGGCACCGGTGTCCCAAGAAGACCTCTCAGGTGTGGTGGCGCCCACAGGGGCACGCCAAGGGCTAATGTCGCCCTTAGGGGACCGCCAAGGGGTAATGTCGCCCCTAGGGGCCCGCCAAGGGGTAACGTCGCCCCCAGGGGCTCTTCTTCGGGGTTGCGATGCACCCAGGGTCTCCCGTCAGGGTCAGCAGTGCCCCCATGGGACCTTCCAGAGGCAAAGGTGCCCCAAGGGGCGGCGGGACTTTCAGAGGCTTTCCCAGGGGCCCTACCAGAGGCGTCCACTACCTGGAGACCTATAGCTTTTGGTGGTAGTGTCGTACATATTGTATACGTCCAGCAATCCCTTACTTAACTGTGATTGGTGGACTAAAATGTAAATGCAAATATCAACCAATAGGAGAACAGAGCAGTGAGTCAGCACAACACCCCAACTAATGTCTTCCTGTTGGATATTTATTCTCTTTTACATTGTTCATGGTGTGATGATACTGGAAATGCGATGGGCGGAGTATTTATTCATATCTCCCATTGTTCTAAATGTGCAAAAACAACTGCCCCCACGGTCAATCCAGTGATAGTGCCCCCTGGGTCCCTCCCATGTGCCCTACCAGATGCGTCGCTCTTAGGGACTCTCACAGGGGTGTCGGTGCCCTCAGGGTCCCTGGCAAGGGTGGCGGCGCTCCCAGGGGCCCTACTTGGGGCGGTGGCGCACCCAGGGGCATTCCCAGTTGCGGTGGCGCCCACAGTGTCCCTCCCAGAGGCACCGGTGCCCCCAGGGGACCTCTCAGGTGTGGTGGCGCCCACAGAGGCCCGCCAAGGGCTAATGTCGCCCCCAGGGGACCGCCAAGGAGTAACGTCGCCCCCAGGGGACCGCCAAGGGGTAACGTCGCCCTCAGTGGCTCTTCTTTGGGGCAGTGATGGCCCCTTGGGCTCTCCTCAGGGTCAGTGGTGCCCCTAGGGGTTCTCTCAGGTATGGTGGCCCCCCCAAGGGCCTGCCAAGGGGTAACGCCGCCTCCAGGGGCCCGACAAGGGGTAACGGTGACCCCAGGGGACCGCCAAGGGGTAACGTCGCCCATAGGGGCTCTTCTTTGGAGCAGCGAGGACCCCAGGGGCTCTCAGGGTCAGCGGTGCCCCCAGGGGACCTGCCAGAGGCGGTGGCGCCCCAAGGGGCGACGGTACCTTCAGGGGCCTTCCCAGAGGCCCTACCAGAGGCGTCCCCTGCCTGGAAACCTACAGCTTTTGGTCGTAGTGTCGTACATATTGCATACGTCCAGCAATCCCTTACTTAACTGTGATTGGTGGACTAAAATGTAAATGCAAATATCAGCCAATAGGAGAACAGAGCAGTCAGTCAGCACAACACCCCAACTTATGTTTTCCTGTTGGATATTTATTCTCCTTTACATTGTTCATGGTGTGATGATACTGGAAATGCAATGGGCGGAGTATTTATTCATATCTCCCATTGTTCTAAATGTGCAAAAACAACTGCCCCCACGGTCAATCCAGTGATAGTGCCCTCTGGGTCCCTCCCATGTGCCCTACCAGGTGCGTCGCTCTTAGGGGCTCTGACAGGGGTGTCGGTGCCCTCAGGGTCCCTGGCAAGGGTGGCGGCGCTCCCAGGGGCCCTACCTGGGGCGGTGGCGCACCCAGGGGCCTTCTCAGGTGCGGTGGCGCCCACAATGTCCCTCCCAGAGGCACCGGTGCCCCCAAGGGACCTCTCAGGTGTGGTAGCGCCCCCAGGCGCCGGCCAAGAGGTAACGTCGCCCCCAGGGGACCGCCAAGGGGTAACGTCGCCCACAAGGGCTTTCCTTATGGGCAGCGATGCACCCAGGGGCTCTCCTCAGGGTCAGCGGTGCCCCCAGGGGACCATCCAAAGCAGTGGCGCCCCAAGGGGCGACGGTACCCTTGGGGGCCTTCCCAGGGGCCCTACCAGAGGCCTCCACTACCTGGAGACATATAGCTTTAGGTCGTAGTTTCATACGTATTGCATACGTCCAGCAATCCCTTACTTAACTGTGATTGGTGGACTAAAATGTAAATGCAAATATCAACCAATAGGAGAACAGAGCAGTCAGTCAGCACAACACCCTAACTTATGTTTTCCTGTTGGATATTTATTCTCCTTTACATAGTTCATGGTGTGATGATACTGGAAATGCGATGGGCGGAGTATTTATTCATATCTTCCATTGTTCTAAATGTGCAAAAACAACTGCCCCCACGGTTAATCCAGTGATAGTGCGCCCTAGGGCCCTCCCATTTCCCTTACCAGGTGCGTCACTCTTAGGGGCTCTCACAGGGGTGTCGGTGCCCCCAGGGAACCTGGCAAAGGTGGCGGCGCTCCCAGGGGCCCTACCTGGGGCGGTGGCGCACCCAGGGTCCTTCCCAGGTGTGGTGGCCCCAGAGGGTCCCTCCCAGGGGCACCGGTGCCCCCAGGGGACCTCTCAGGTGTGGTTGCGCCTCCAGGCGCCGGCCAAGGGGTAACGTCGCCCCCAGGGGACCGCCAAGGGGTAACATCACCCAGAGGGGACCGCCAAGGGGTAATGTCGCCCACAGGGGCTCTTCTTAGGGGCATCGATGCCCCCAGGGGCTTCGTCAGGGTTAGCGGTGCCCCCAGGGGACCTTCCATAGGCGGTGGTGTAATAGGCCCCTGTCTCATCAACAGAACGTATTATATAAATGGGTCAATACATCTGATATTATATTCAGATTCACCACCCTGTAACTTTCCACTGTCTATGAGTAAGACATGAGATTGACACGTGAGCGGGCAACTTACCCAAGAGGGCGAGACCCATAGCTCAGCATTTCTGTAAGCACGCACTGCGATGCCCCTAAGCTTCAGTAGCTCACCACAACTCATATCGTAAGGACGTGACCTAACGTTTATCATACATAAACGCCGTCCCTTTCTCATTCACTCCTAGACAGTGAGACTTACGGTTGATATACACTCAGGAATTATATATACAACCTTTTATAATAAAACAAAGGAACTACCGTTTGGGTTTCGTTACTTAAAACCCAAATATAAATATGTGTGAACGGACTGGTTAATTGGACAAGCAGCCGATTCAGTGGCGCCCCAAGGGGCGACGGTACCCTCAGGGGCCTTCCCAGGGGCCCTACCAAAGGCGCCCACTACCTGGAGACCTATAGCTTTTGGTAGTAGTGTCGTACATATTGCATACGTCCAGCAATCCCTTACTTAACTGTGATTGGTGGACTAAAATGTAAATGCAAATATCAGCCAATAGGAGAACAGAGTAATCAGTCAGCACAACACCTCAACTTATGTTTTCCTGTTGGATATTTATTCTCCTTTACATTGTTCATGTTGTGATGATACTGGAAATGCGATGGGCGGAGTATTTATTCATATCTCCCATTGTTCTAAATGTGCAAAAACAACTGCCCCCACGGTCAATCCAGTGATAGTGCCCGCTGGGTCCCTCCCATTTGCCCTACCAGGTGCGTCGCCCTAGGGGCTCTCCCAGGTGTGTCGCTGCCCCCAGGGGCTCTGCCAGTGGCGGTGGGGCACCTAGGGGCCTTCCCAGGTGCGGTGGCGCCCATAGGATCCCTCGCAAAGGCACCGGTGCCCCCAGAGGACCTCTTAGGTGTGCTGGCGCCCTCCTAGGGGCCCGCCAAGGCGTAACGTCGCCCCCAGGGAACCGCCAAGGCGTAACGTTTCCCCCAGGGGACCGCCAAGGGGTAACATCGCCTCCAGCGGACCGCCAAGGGGTAACGTCGCCCCCAGGGGACCGCCAAGGGGTAACGTCGCCCCCAGGGGCTCTTTTTTGGGGCAGCGATACTCCCAGGGACTCCTCAGGGGCATCGGTGCCTTCAGGGGAGCTCTCAGGTGTGGTGGCGCCCCCAGGGGTCCGCCAAGGGGTCACGTCGTCAGCAGGGGCTCTTCTTAGGCGCACCGATGCCCCCAGGGGCTCCCCTCAGGGTCAGCCATGCCCCCAGGGGACCTTCCATTGGCGGTGACGCCCCAAGGGGCGGCGGTACCCTCAGGGGCCTTCCCAGGTGCCCTACCAGAGGCGTCCCCTACGTGGAGACCTATAGCTTTGGTGGTAGTGTCATACATATTGCATACGTCCAGCAATCCCTTACTTAACTGTGATTGGTGGACTAAAATGTAAATGCAAATATCAGCCAATAGGAGAACAGAGCAGTCAGTCAGCACAACACCCCAACTTATGTTTTCCTGTTGGATATTTATTCTCCTTTACATTGTTCATGGTGTGATGATACTGGAAATGCGATGGGCGGAGTATTTATTCATATCTCCCATTGTTCTAAATGTGCAAAAACAACTGCCCCCACGGTCAATTCAATGATAGTGCCCCCTAGGTCCCTCCCATTTACCCTACCAGGTGCGTCGCCCTAGGGGCTCTCCCAGGGGTGTCGGTGCCTCCAGGGGCCCTGCAAAGGGTGTCGGTGCTCCCAGGGGCCCTGTTAGGGGCGGTGGCGCACCCAGGGGCCTTCCCAGGTGCGGTGACACCCACAGGGTCCCTCCCAGGGGCACCGGTGGCCCCAGAAGGCCTCTCAGGTGTTGTGGCGCCCACAGAGGCCCGCCAAGGGCTAACGTCACCCCCAGGGGACCGCCAAAGGGTAACGTCGCCCCCAATCGCTCTTCTGTGGTCAGCTATGCCTCCAGGGGCTCTCCTCAGGGTCACCGGTGCCCCCAGGCGATCTCTTAGGTATGGTGGCGCCCCCAGGGGCCCGCCAAGGGGTAACATCGCCCCCAGGAGCTCTTCTTAGGGGCAGAGCGATGCCCCCAGGGTCTCCCCTCACGGACAGCCGTGCCTCCAGGGGTCCTTCCAGAGCAGGTGGCGCCCCAAGGGGCAGCGGTACCCTCAGGGGTCTTCTCAGGGGCCCTACCAGAGGCGTCCCTTACCTGGAGACCTATAGCTTTTGCTGGAAGTGTCGTTCATATTGCATACGTCCAGCAATCTCTTACTTAACTGTGATTGGTGACTAAAATATAAATGCAAATATCAGCCAATAGGAGAACAGAGCAGTCAGTCAGCACAACACCCCAACTTATGTTTTCCTGTTGGATATTTATTCTCTTTTACATTGTTCATGGTGTGATGATAATCGAAATGCGATGGGCGGAGTATTTATTCATATCTCCCATTGTTCTAAATGTGCAAAAACAACTGCCCCCACGGTCAATCCAGTGATAGTGACCCCTGGGTCCCTCCCATGTGCCCTACCAGATGCGTCGCTCTTACGGACTCTCACAGGGGTGTCGGTGCCCTCAGGGTCCCTGGCAAGGGTGGCGATGCTCCCAGGGGCCCTACTTGGGGCGGTGGCGCACCCAGGGGCCTTCCCAGTTGCGGTGGCGCCCACAGTTTCCCTCCCAGAGGCACCGGTGCCCCCAGGGGACCTCTCAGGTGTGGTGGCGCCCACAGGGGCCCGCCAAGGGCTAATGTCGCCCCCAGGGGACCGCCAAGGAGTAACGTCGCTCCCAGGGGACCGCCAAGGGGTAACGTCGCCCCCAGTGGCTCTTCTTTGGGGCAGTGATTGCCCCAGGGGCTCTCCTCAGGGTCAGTGGTGCCCCTAGGGGTTCTCTCAGGTATGGTGGCCCCCCCAAGGGCCTGCCAAGGGGTAACGCCGCCTCCAGGGGCCCGACAAGGGGTAACGGTGACCCCAGGGGACCGCCAAGGGGTAACGTCGCCCATCGGGGCTCTTCTTAGGAGCAGCGAGGACCCCAGGGGCTCTCAGGGTCAGCGGTGCCCCCAGGGGACCTTCCAGAGGCGGTGGCGCCCCAAGGGGCGACGGTACCTTTAGGGGCCTTCCCAGAGGCCCTACCAGAGGCGTCCCCTGCCTGGAAACCTACAGCTTTTGGTCGTAGTGTCGTACATATTGCATACGTCCAGCAATCCCTTACTTAACTGTGATTGGTGGACTAAAATGTAAATGCAAATATCAGCCAATAGGAGAACAGAGCAGTCAGTCAGCACAACACCCCAACTTATGTTTTCCTGTTGGATATTTATTCTCTTTTACATTGTTCATGGTGTGATGATACTCGAAATGCGATGGGCGGAGTATTTATTCATATCTCCCATTGTTCTAAATGTGCAAAAACAACTGCCCCCACGGTCAATCCAGTGATAGTGACCCCTGGGTCCCTCCCATGTGCCCTACCAGGTGCGTCGCTCTTAGGGGCTCTGACAGGGGTGTCGGTGCCCTCAGGGTCCCTGGCAAGGGTGGCGGCGCTCCCAGGGGCCCTACCTGGGGCGGTGGCGCACCCAGGGGCCTTCTCAGGTGCGGTGGCGCCCACAATGTCCCTCCCAGAGGCACCGGTGCCCCCAAGGGACCTCTCAGGTGTCGTAGCGCCCCCAGGCGCCGGCCAAGGGGTAACGTCGCCCTTAGGGGCCCGCCAAGGGGTAACGTCGCCCACAAGGGCTCTCCTTATGGGCAGCGATGCCCCCAGGGGCTCTCCTCAGGGTTAGCGGTGCCCCCAGGGGACCATCCAAAAGCAGTGGCGCCCCAAGGGGCGACGGTACCCTTGGGGGCCTTCCCAGGGGCGCTACCAGAGGCCTCCACTACCTGGAGACATATAGCTTTAGGTCGTAGTTTCGTACGTATTGGATACGTCCAGCAATCCCTTACTTAACTGTGATTGGTGGACTAAAATGTAAATGCAAATATTAACCAATAGGAGAACAGAGCAGTCAGTCAGCACAACACCCTAACTTATGTTTTCCTGTTGGATATTTATTCTCCTTTACATTGTTCATGGTGTGATGATACTGGAAATGCGATGGGCGGAGTATTTATTCATATCTCCCATTGTTCTAAATGTGCAAAAACAACTGCCCCCACTGTCAATCCAGTGATAGTGCGCCCTAGGGCCCTCCCATTTGCCTTACCAGGTGCGTCACTCTTAGGGGCTCTCACAGGGGTGTTGGTGGCCCCAGGGAACCTGGCAAAGGTGGCGGCTCTCCCAGGGGCCCTACCTGGGGCGGTGGCGCACCCAGGGTCCTTCCCAGGTGTGGTGGCCCCAAAGGGTCCCTCCCAGGGGCACCGGTGCCCCCAGGGGACCTCTCAGGTGTGATTGCGCCTCCAGGCGCCGGCCAAGGGGTAACGTCGCCCCCAGGGGACCGCCAAGGGGTAACATCACCCAGAGGGGACCGCCAAGGGGTAATGTCGCCCACAGGGGCTCTTCTTAGGGGCATCGATGCCCCCAGGGGCTCTCGTCAGGGTTAGCGGTGCCCCCAGGGGACCTTCCATAGGCGGTGGCGCCCCAAGGGGCGACGGTACCCTCAGGGGCCTTCCCAGGGGCCCTACCAAAGGCGCCCACTACCTGGAGACCTATAGCTTTTGGGGGTAGTGTCGTCCATATTGCATACGTCCAGCAATACCTTACTTAACTGTGATTGGTGGACTAAAATGAAATGCAAATATCAGCCAATAGGAGAATAGAGCAGTCAGTCAGCACAACACCCCAACTTATGTTTTCCTTTTGGATATTTATTCTCCTTTACATTGTTCATGGTGTGATGATACTGGAAATGCGATGGGCGGAGTATTTATTCATATCTCCCATTGTTCTAAATGTGCAAAAACAACTGCCCCCACGGTCAATCCAGTGATAGTGCGCCCTGGGGCACTCCCATTTGCCCTACCAGGTGCATCGATCTTGGGGCTCTCCCAGGGGTGTCGGCGACCTCAGGGGCCCTGACAAGGGTGTCGGCAATCCCAGGAGCCCTGCCAGGGGCGGTGGCGCACCCAGGGGCCTTCCCAGGTGCGGTGGCGACCACAGGTTTCCTCTCAAGGGCACCGGAGCCCCCAGGGGACCTCTCAGGTGTGGTGGCGCCCTCAGGTGCCCTCCAAGGGGTAACGTTTCCCACAGGTGCCCGCCAAGAGGTAACGTTGCCCCCATGGGACCGCCAAGGGGTAACGTCACCCCCAGGGGACCGCCAAGGGGTAACGTCACCCCCAGGGGCTCTCCTCAGGGGCACTGGTGCCCCCAGGGGAGCTCTCAGGTGTGGTGGCGCGCCCATGGGCACGCCAAGGAGTAACGTCGCCCCCAGGGGCTCTTCTTATGGGCAGCGATGCCCCTAGGGCCTCCCCTCAGGGTCAGTAGTACCCCCAGGGGACCTTCCAGAGGTGGTGGCGCCCCAAGGGGCGGCGCTACCCTCATGGGCCTTCCCAGGTGCCCTACCACAGGCGTTCCCTAACTGGAGACCTATAGCTTTTGGTGGTACTGTCTAGCATATTGCATACGTCCAGCAATCCCTTACTTAACTGTGATTGGTGTACTAGAATGTAGATGCAAATATCAGCCAATAGGAGAACAGAGCAGTCAGTCAGCACAACACCACAACTTATGTTTTCCTGTTGGATATTTATTCTCCTTTACATTGTTCATGGTGTATCAGGAAATGCGATGGCCGAAGTATTTATTCATATCTCCCATTGTTCTAAATATTAAAAAACAACTGGCCCCACGGTCAATCCAGTTATAGTCCACCCTGGGGCCCTCCCATTTGCCCTACCAGGTGCATCGCCCTAGGGGCGGTCCCATGGGTGTCAGTTTCCCCAGGGGCCCTGGGAAGGGTGGCGGCTATCCCAGGGGCCCTGCCAGGGGCGGTGGCGCACCCAGGGGCCTTCCCAGGTGCGGTGGCGCCCACAGGGTCCCTTTCAGGGGCACCTGTGTCCTCAGGGGACCTCTCAGGTGTGGTGGCGCGCCCAGGGGCCGGCCAAGGGATAAGATTGCCCCAGGGGATCTTCTTTTGGGTAGCGATGCCTCCAGGGGCTCTTCTTTTGAGCAGCGATGCCCCTAGGGGCTCTCCTCAGGGGCACCGGTGCCCCCAGGGGAGCTGTCAGGTGTGGTGGCACCCCCAGGGGCCCGCCAAGGTGTAACGTCGCCCACTGTCGCTCTTCTTAGGGGCAGCGATGCCCCCAAGGGTCTTTCTAGAGGCGGTGGCGTCCCAAGGGGTGGCGATACCCTCAGGAGCCTTCCCAAGTACCCTACCAGAGGCTTCCCATACCTGGAGACCTATAGCTTTTGGTGGTAGTGTCGTACATATTGCATACGTCCAGCAATCCCTTACTTAACTGTGATTGGTGGACTAAAATGTAAATCCAAAAAACAGCCAATAGGAGAACAGAACAGTCAGTCATCACAACACCCCAACTTATGTTTTCCTGTTGGATATTTATTCTCCTTTACATTGTTCATGGTGTGATGATACTGGAAATGCGATGGGCGGAGTATCTATTCATATATCCCATTGTTCTAAATGTGCAAAAACAACTGCCCCCACTGTCAATCCAGTGATAGTGCCCGCTGGGTCCCTCCCATTTGCCCTACCAGGTGCGTCGCCCTAGGGGCTCTCCCAGGTGTGTCGCTGCCCCCAGGGGCTCTGCCAGTGGCGGTGGGGCACCTAGGGGCCTTCCCAGGTGCGGTGGCGCCCATTGGATCCCTCGCAAAGGCACCGGTGCCCCCAGAGGACCTCTTAGGTGTGCTGGCGCCCTCCTAGGGGCTCGCCAAGGCGTAACGTCGCCCCCAGGGAACCGCCAAGGCGTAACGTTTCCCCCAGGGGACCGCCAAGGTGTAACATCGCCTCCAGCGGACCGCCAAGGGGTAACGTCGCCCCCAGGGGACCGCCAGGGGGTAACGTCGCCCCCAGGGGCTCTTTTTTGGGGCAGCGATACTCCCAGGTCTCCTCAGGGGCATCGGTGCCTTCAGGGGAGCTTTCAGGTGTGGTGGCGCCCCCAGGGGTCCGCCAAGGGGTCACGTCGTCAGCAGGGGCTCTTCTTAGGCGCACCGATGCCCCCAGGGGCTCCCCTCAGGGTCAGCCATGCCCCCAGGGGACCTTCCATTGGCGGTGACGCCCCAAGGGGCGGCGGTACCCTCAGGGGCCTTCCCAGGTGCCCTACCAGAGGCGTCCCCTACGTGGAGACCTATAGCTTTGGTGGTAGTGTCATACATATTGCATACGTCCAGCAATACCTTACTTAACTGTGATTGGTGGACTAAAATGTAAATGCAAATATCAGCCAATAGGAGAACAGAGCAGTCAGTCAGCACAACACCCCAACTTATGTTTTCCTGTTGGATATTTATTCTCCTTTACATTGTTCATGGTGTGATGATACTGGAAATGCGATGGGCGGAGTATATATTCATATCTCCCGTTGTTCTAAATGTGCAAAAACAACTGCCCCCACGGTCAATTCAATGATAGTGCCCCCTAGGTCCCTCCCATTTACCCTACCAGGTGCGTCGCCCTAGGGGCTCTCCCAGGGATGTCGGTGCCTCCAGGGGCCCTGCAAAGGGTGTCGGTGCTCCCAGGGGCCCTGTTAGGGGCGGTGGCGCACCCAGGGGCCTTCCCAGGTGCGGTGGCACCCACAGGGTCCCTCCCAGGGGCACCGGTGGCCCCAGAAGGCCTCTCAGGTGTTGTGGCGCCCACAGGAGCCCGCCAAGGGCTAACGTCGCCCCCAGGGGACCGCCAAAGGGTAACGTCGCCCCCAGTCGCTCTTCTGTGGTCAGCTATGCCTCCAGGGGCTCTCCTCAGAGTCACCGGTGCCCCCAGGCGATCTCTTAGGTATGGTGGCGCCCCCAGGGACCCGCCAAGGGGTAACATCGCCCCCAGGAGCTCTTCTTAGGGGCAGAGCGATGCCCCCAGGGTCTCCCCTCACGGTCAGCCGTGCCTCCAGGGGTCCTTCCAGAGCAGGTGGCGCCCCAAGGGGCAGCGGTACCCTCAGGGGCCTTCTCAGGGGCCCTACCAGAGGCGTCCCTTACCTGGAGACCTATAGCTTTTGCTGGAAGTGTCGTTCATATTGCATACGTCCAGCAATCCCTTACTTAACTGTGATTGGTGACTAAAATATAAATGCAAATATCAGCCAATAGGAGAACAGAGCAGTCAGTCAGCACAACACCCCAACTTATGTTTTCCTGTTGGATATTTATTCTCTTTTACATTGTTCATGGTGTGATGATACTCGAAATGCGATGGGCGGAGTATTTATTCATATCTCCCATTGTTTTAAATGTGCAAAAACAACTGCCCCCACGGTCAATCCAGTGATAGTGACCCCTGGGTCCCTCCCATGTGCCCTACCAGATGCGTCGCTCTTACGGACTCTCACAGGGGTGTCGGTGCCCTCAGGGTCCCTGGCAAGGGTGGCGATGCTCCCAGGGGCCCTACTTGGGGCGGTGGCGCACCCAGGGGCCTTCCCAGTTGCGGTGGCGCCCACAGTGTCCCTCCCAGAGGCACCGGTGCCCCCAGGGGACCTCTCAGGTGTGGTGGCGCCCACAGGGTTCCGCCAAGGGCTAATGTCGCCCCCAGGGGACCGCCAAGGAGTAACGTCGCCCCCAGGGGACCGCCAAGGGGTAACGTCGCCCCCAGTGGCTCTTCTTTGGGGCAGTGATTGCTCCAGGGGCTCTCCTCAGGGTCAGTGGTGCCCCTAGGGGTTCTCTCAGGTATGGTGGCCCCCCAAGGGCCTGCCAAGGGGTAACGCCGCCTCCAGGGGCCCGACAAGGGGTAACGGTGACCCCAGGGGACCGCCAAGGGGTAACGTCGCCCATAGGGGCTCTTCTTAGGAGCAGCGAGGACCCCAGGGGCTCTCAGGGTCAGCGGTGCCCCCAGGGGACCTGCCAGAGGCGGTGGCGCCCCAAGGACCGACGGTACCTTTAGGGGCCTTCCCAGAGGCCCTACCAGAGGCGTCCCCTGCCTGGAAACCTACAGCTTTTGGTCGTAGTGTCGTACATATTGCATACGTCCAGCAATCCCTTACTTAACTGTGATTGGTGGACTAAAATGTAAATGCAAATATCAGCCAATAGGAGAACAGAGCAGTCAGTCAGCACAACACCCCAACTTATGTTTTCCTGTTGGATATTTATTCTCTTTTACATTGTTCATGGTGTGATGATACTCGAAATGCGATGGGCGGAGTATTTATTCATATCTCCCATTGTTCTAAATGTGCAAAAACAACTGCCCCCACGGTCAATCCAGTGATAGTGACCCCTGGGTCCCTCCCATGTGCCCTACCAGGTGCGTCGCTCTTAGGGGCTCTGACAGGGGTGTCGGTGCCCTCAGGGTCCCTGGCAAGGGTGGCGGCGCTCCCAGGGGCCCTACCTGGGGCGGTGGCGCACCCAGGGGCCTTCTCAGGTGCGGTGGCGCCCACAATGTCCCTCCCAGAGGCACCGGTGCCCCCCAAGGGACCTCTCAGGTGTCGTAGCGCCCCCAGGCGCCGGCCAAGGGGTAACGTCGCCCTTAGGGGCCCGCCAAGGGGTAACGACGCCCACAAGGGCTCTCCTTATGGGCAGCGATGCCCCCAGGGGCTCTCCTCAGGGTTAGCGGTGCCCCCAGGGGACCATCCAAAAGCAGTGGCGCCCCAAGGGGCGACGGTACCCTTGGAGGCCTTCCCAGGGGCCCTACCAGAGGCCTCCACTACCTGGAGACATATAGCTTTAGGTCGTAGTTTCGTACGTATTGCATACGTCCAGCAATCCCTTACTTAACTGTGATTGGTGGACTAAAATGTAAATGCAAATATCAACCAATAGGAGAACATAGCAGTCAGTCAGCACAACACCCTAACTTATGTTTTCCTGTTGGATATTTATTCTCCTTTACATTGTTCATGGTGTGATGATACTGGAAATGCGATGGGCGGAGTATTTATTCATATCTCCCATTGTTCTAAATGTGCAAAAACAACTGCCCCCACTGTCAATCCAGTGATAGTGCGCCCTAGGGCCCTCCCATTTGCCTTACCAGGTGCGTCACTCTTAGGGGCTCTCACAGGGGTGTTGGTGGCCCCAGGGAACCTGGCAAAGGTGGCGGCTCTCCCAGGGGCCCTACCTGGGGCGGTGGCGCACCCAGGGTCCTTCCCAGGTGTGGTGGCCCCAAAGGGTCCCTCCCAGGGGCACCGGTGCCCCCAGGGGACCTCTCAGGTGTGATTGCGCCTCCAGGCGCCGGCCAAGGGGTAACGTCGCCCCCAGGGGACCGCCAAGGGGTAACATCACCCAGAGGGGACCGCCAAGGGGTAATGTCGCCCACAGGGGCTCTTCTTAGGGGCATCGATGCCCCCAGGGGCTCTCGTCAGGGTTAGCGGTGCCCCCAGGGGACCTTCCATAGGCGGTGGCGCCCCAAGGGGCGACGGTACCCTCAGGGGCCTTCCCAGGGGCCCTACCAAAGGCGCCCACTACCTGGAGACCTATAGCTTTTGGGGGTAGTGTCGTCCATATTGCATACGTCCAGCAATACCTTACTTAACTGTGATTGGTGGACTAAAATGAAATGCAAATATCAGCCAATAGGAGAATAGAGCAGTCAGTCAGCACAACACCCCAACTTATGTTTTCCTGTTGGATATTTATTCTCCTTTACATTGTTCATGGTGTGATGATACTGGAAATGCGATGGGCGGAGTATTTATTCATATCTCCCATTGTTCTAAATGTGCAAAAACAACTGCCCCCACGGTCAATCGAGTGATAGTGCCCCCTGGGTCCCTCCCATTTGCCCTACCAGGTGCATCGATCTTGGGGCTCTCCCAGGGGTGTCGGCGACCCCAGGGGCCCTGACAAGGGTGTCGGCAATCCCAGGAGCCCTGCCAGGGGCGGTGGCGCACCCAGGGGCCTTCCCAGGTGCGGTGGCGACCACAGGTTCCCTCTCAAGGGCACCGGAGCCCCCAGGGGACCTCTCAGGTGTGGTGGCGCCCTCAGGGGCCCTCCAAGGGGTAACGTTTCCCACAGGTGCCCGCCAAGAGGTAACGTTGCCCCCATGGGACCGCCAAGGGGTAACGTCACCCCCAGGGGACCGCCAAGGGGTAACGTCGCCCCCAGGGGCTCTTCTTTGCTGCAGCAATGCCCCCAGGGGCTCTCCTCAGGGGCACTGGTGTCCCCAGGGGAGCTCTCAGGTGTGGTGGCGCACCCATGGGCTCGCCAAGGGGTAGCGTCGCCCCCAGGGGCTCTTCTTATGGGCAGCGATGCACCTAGGGGCTCCCTTCAGGGTCAGCAGTGCCCCAGGGGACCTTCCAGAGGTGGTGGCGCCCCAAGGGGCGGCGCTACCCTCATGGGCCTTCCCAGGTGCCCTACCACAGGCGTTCCCTAACTGGAGACCTATAGCTTTTGGTGGTACTGTCTAGCATATTGCATACGTCCAGCAATCCCTTACTTAACTGTGATTGGTGTACTAGAATGTAGATGCAAATATCAGCCAATAGGAGAACAGAGCAGTCAGTCAGCACAACACCACAACTTATGTTTTCCTGTTGGATATTTATTCTCCTTTACATTGTTCATGGTGTATCAGGAAATGCGATGGCCGAAGTATTTATTCATATCTCCCATTGTTCTAAATATTAAAAAACAACTGGCCCCACGGTCAATCCAGTTATAGTCCACCCTGGGGCCCTCCCATTTGCCCTACCAGGTGCATCGCCCTAGGGGCGGTCCCATGGGTGTCAGTTTCCCCAGGGGCCCTGGGAAGGGTGGCGGCTATCCCAGGGGCCCTGCCAGGGGCGGTGGCGCACCCAGGGGCCTTCCCAGGTGCGGTGGCGCCCACAGGGTCCCTTTCAGGGGCACCTGTGTCCTCAGGGGACCTCTCAGGTGTGGTGGCGCGCCCAGGGGCCGGCCAAGGGATAAGATTGCCCCAGGGGATCTTCTTTTGGGTAGCGATGCCTCCAGGGGCTCTTCTTTTGAGCAGCGATGCCCCTAGGGGCTCTCCTCAGGGGCACCGGTGCCCCCAGGGGAGCTGTCAGGTGTGGTGGCACCCCCAGGGGCCCGCCAAGGTGTAACGTCGCCCACTGTCGCTCTTCTTAGGGGCAGCGATGCCCCCAAGGGTCTTTCTAGAGGCGGTGGCGTCCCAAGGGGTGGCGATACCCTCAGGAGCCTTCCCAAGTACCCTACCAGAGGCTTCCCATACCTGGAGACCTATAGCTTTTGGTGGTAGTGTCGTACATATTGCATACGTCCAGCAATCCCTTACTTAACTGTGATTGGTGGACTAAAATGTAAATCCAAAAAACAGCCAATAGGAGAACAGAACAGTCAGTCATCACAACACCCCAACTTATGTTTTCCTGTTGGATATTTATTCTCCTTTACATTGTTCATGGTGTGATGATACTGGAAATGCGATGGCGGAGTATCTATTCATATATCCCATTGTTCTAAATGTGCAAAAACAATTGCCCCCACTGTCAATCCAGTGATAGTGCCCGCTGGGTCCCTCCCATTTGCCCTACCAGGTGCGTCGCCCTAGGGGCTCTCCCAGGTGTGTCGCTGCCCCCAGGGGCTCTGTCAGTGGCGGTGGGGCACCTAGGGGCCTTCCCAGGTGCCGTGGCGCCCATAGGATCCCTCGCAAAGGCACCGGTGCCCCCAGAGGACCTCTTAGGTGTGCTGGCGCCCTCCTAGGGACCCGCCAAGGCGTAACGTCGCCCCCAGGGAACCGCCAAGGCGTAACGTTTTCCCCAGGGGACCGCCAAGGGGTAACATCGCCTCCAGCGGACCGCCAAGGGGTAACGTCGCCCCCAGGGGACCGCCAAGGGGTAACGTCGCCCCCAGGGGCTCTTTTTTGGGGCAGCGATACTCCCAGGGACTCCTCAGGGGCATCGGTGCCTTCAGGGGAGCTCTCAGGTGTGGTGGCGCCCCCAGGGGTCGGCCAAGGGGTCACGTCGTCAGCAGGGGCTCTTCTTAGGCGCACCGATGCCCCCAGGGTCTCCCCTCAGGGTCAGCCATGCCCCCAGGGGACCTTCCATTGGCGGTGACGCCCCAAGGGGCGGCGGTACCCTCAGGGGCCTTCCCAGGTGCCCTACCAGAGGCGTCCCCTACGTGGAGACCTATAGCTTTGGTGGTAGTGTCATACATATTGCATACGTCCAGCAATCCCTTACTTAACTGTGATTGGTGGACTAAAATGTAAATGCAAATATCAGCCAATAGGAGAACAGAGCAGTCAGTCAGCACAACACCCCAACTTATGTTTTCCTGTTGGATATTTATTCTCCTTTACATTGTTCATGGTGTGATGATACTGGAAATGCGATGGGCGGAGTATAAGCAATACGTAACTGAACGAAGCATACCGA